TGTGTTGGTCTGTCACAGTGGTCTCCAAACTGTGGCCTGGGGGCCAGATGTGGCCCTTTACTTGCCTTTAACTGACCCTTGGGGCACTATTCCAACGATGGAGCACCATTCCCCCTACTGATATCATCAATGGGGCACTATTCTTCTAATGGGCCATTGATCCCGGGGCATTTTCTACTCCCACTGGCCACAGTCCAGCCCCCCTAATGCCTGAAGGACAGTAAACTGGCCCTTTGCTTGGAAAGTTTGGAGACCCCTGGTCTATGACATAAAATCCCAATAAAATACATTTACATTATTGTTTGTAACATGACAAAATGTGGAAAATTTCATGGGCTATGAATACTTTTTCAAGGCACTGTACACTAGCAAAGACGAAGTCACTGTGAGTCCCACCAGCATGCGTGATGATGTCACTGGCCAAAACTCTGCTGCCTTATTTTCACCTGGTGATCCAGCCAGTAAGTCTGTTGTTAGAAAAGAAAAAGTTCTTTTACAGATGTAACAGTTAGATCATTGTTTTATTTATGTGAAAATCTTTATGCGAAAAGATGAAAAAAACGTTTGCTGTGCCTGTTTATAAAGTGTTAGCATGTGTTTAGCTTCAATTTGTTAGTGTGAAAACAGAGGGTAAAAGGCCTAAAAAAAAAAAAAGAAACCTAAAGCATCGCCACATCTAAGATTTGATAAGCTGCACCATATTAGATTTTTGGTATTGGGTTTAATACCACTTTAATCACATACAAATGGATTATGCAAAATTGGTTGCTAATACATGCTGCTTTTGTAGCCTACTCCATAGGGAGCCATTTGTTTGGTGAGTATTTGCTAGACCTAGCAGGTAGTCACTGGCGATTTAAGTAGCAGGATCAAACTACCTTTAGGCCTTCAGCACATGGGCTTCAGCTGTTTAAGGCCTATGTGTGCATTAAGCTTTTGTAAAGCTTTCCGCAAGCTTTAAACCTCTTTGTTAAAATCTTTAAAGAAAACTGCACTTCCAGCGGGAAATTTTAAAGTTCTCATTTTAAACATGCGACTAGTAGGTTTCAGCAAGCTTTCCACAAGCTTCAAGTAGTGCTGAAGCCTGCTAGAAGGTTGTTTTCTGGCAGTCAACACTCCTATTACAATTTGCTTTAATTTCCACAAACCGGAACTGAAGGATGCCTTAAAGGCTTTAAAAGAGAAGTATTGGAATTGAAAAAACTAATGTACATACTCTCTTAGGTGAAATGCTGCATTAGTCCCCCACCGACTCTTAAGACTGAGAACTGAGCGGTCAAAGACCACTGATTGCTCAGTACTCAGTCTTCAGTGAGCAGATTGCTGGTGACTGTCAGTCATGGGCTTTCTGCCACTCCAGTGCTCACTGGTGCACCGGGCTGTGCAAGGGGCAGGAGCAGCTGATTAATTCTCCCAGAGGCTCTCTGAGGGGCTGAGCCAGTTGCTGGTCCCAGACTTTACCCTGCTGTTGGCTGAAAACGGGTCACAGGAATCGCGCTGGCAGTGGAGAAAGCAGGAGCTGTAAAAGCCAATGCTTCCTCTGCATTGCTGGCTCCTGTCCCAGGCGGAGTAATACCAAGTGCACTTCACCTGGGAACTTTCTAGCAACCTAGAGAGCAATGCCAGCAGAAGCTGGAAGAGAAAATAAAAAGGTCAGTGTATTAAACAACATTTATACTGCGCTTTTGCAACGGTCATATTCGCACGTATAAAAGGCTGCTTTCACACTGACCCTTGGGTGCAGCACTGAATGCAGGAGTTCTGGTGTGCACCACAGCCGCAGGATATAATAGAAGTCTATGGCAAAACGTAGCTAACCCATAGAAAAGCTGCAGGTGCGCTGCACTGCCCCTGTGGTGCAGGAAACCTCAGCACATCAGTGTGAAAGCAGTGTTACAGGGGGCTCAGGACAGTAAGGGCTCATTTACATTAGCTGTTTGGGGGACGGTAAAAATGCATAGTTGAGACATGCTTTTATTACCCCCACCCAACCCCCCCACACCACCAACCACTGGTGTAGTGTCAAGGGTCCCAATGGTGACCTGTCCCGTGCTCCAGGAGGCCCGTGCTTCCTCTCTGTTACATTCTATTTTAAACTTAGACAGGAGGGGCAGCATATACAGGAACTGATCCTCTCCATTTTCCTCCTGCAACTGCTGAAAGCCGCCTTCTCTTCCTCTCCCACCGGCATTTAGCAGCTGCAGGAGGAAAATTCAAAATAAGCAAAAATCTGAATTCTGAACCATTTCATTGTGGCCTGAGACCATATATATATATTTATATATATATATTTATTTCAAATTGGAGACCAACTATTGCAAATAAGTAAATGCAACACTGACCTTATCCTCTTCAGCTGAACGTGTCTGGTACATCTAGAGCTTAGAGGTTAAAACAGTTTTGTTCAGCTGTCTCCTGGCTTTTTATGTGAAAGTGATGCTTTCAGGAAGGTGACCTGTAGAAGATCAGGAAACATCCATTTTAACGTGTGCAAAGAAAAAAAAACCTACTCTAAAGGGAAAGTGGTTAAAGGATAAGTGGACATCACAAATTCAACTTTAACCATTTGAGAGTTTTTAAAAGTAAGAGATTGGTCCTTAAAACAGTTTCTAGGATGTATCTCCTACTTTAGGCTTCTCTTCCCCCACCATTATTACCAGCAGTTACCAGCTATAGAAGGACCGCCAGGAATTGGTTTGTATTATGCAGCAGGAGCGTCTTTCAAAATGTAACCACTCCTGTGTAAACTGACATTTGCAAATAGCCTGCGAGTGTCATTGAGTAAATATATTAGTGCAACAGATGCACTATATTGCCAAAAGTACCAGGACACCTAACTTTACACGCACTTTAATGGCATCCCCAGTTTTAGGCTGTCCACAAGGTTTAGGAGGGTGTCTATGGGAAGGTTTGACCATTCTTCCAGAAGCACATTTGTGAGGTCAGGCACTGATGTTGAACGAGAAGGCCTGGCTCGCAGTCTCTGCCCTAATTCATCTCAAAGATGTTCTATCAGGTTGAGGTCAGGACTCTGTGCAGGCCAGTCAAGTTCCTCCACCCCAAACTCACTCATCCATGTCTTTATGGACCTTGCTTTGTGCACTGGTGCGCAGTCATGTTGGAACAGGAAGGGGCCATCCCCAAACTCTTCCCACACATTTGGGAGCATCAAATTGTCCAAAATGTCTTGGTGTGCTGAAGCCTTAAGAGTTCCCTTCACTGGAACTAAGGGGCCAAGCCCAACCCCTGAAAAACAACCCCACACCATAATCCCCCCTCCACCAAATTTTACACTTGGCACAATGCAGTCAGTACCGTTCTTCTGACAACCGCCAAACCCAGACACATCCATTGGATTGCCAGACAAAGAAGTGTGATTCTTCATTCCAGAGCACACATGTCCAGTGCTCTAGAGTCCAGTGGTGGCGTGCTTTACACCACTGCATCCAACGGTTTGCATTGTACTTGATAATGTAAGACTTGGATGCAGCTGCTTGGCCATGGAAACCCATTCCATGGAGCTCTCTACGCACTGTTGTGCTAATCTAAAGGACACACAAACTTTAAAGGTCTTTAACTATTGACTCTACAGACAGTTGGCGACTTCTGTGCTCTTCAGCTGACCCCGCTCTGTCATTTTATGTTGCCTACCACTTCATGGCTGAGTTGCTGTTGCTCCCAGTTGCTTTCACTTTGTTATAATACCATCAATAACAGTTGACTGTGGAATATTTAATAGCAAGGAAATTTCACGGATGGACTTATTGCACAGGTGGCAACCTATCACGGTACCACGCTTGAATTCACTGAGCTCCTGAGAGTGGCCCATTCTTTCACAAGTGTTTGTAGAAGCAGTCTGCATGCCTAGGTGCTTGATTTTATACACCTGTGGCCAAGGAGATGATTGGAACACCTGAATCCAATGATTTTGAGGGGTGTCCCAATACTATTGGCAATCTAGTGTATATTGTTTCTTTGTATTTTTTATTATTTTAATAACACTACTGTTTTTAACATTTACTCTGGTCAAAATAGAAAATGAAACACAATCTTTTGTCTGTAGACTGCATAAAAAATAACATAACTTGTGCAAGATAATATTGCCAAAAGAAAGCCGAGGTTGTCCCCTGAAACTATGTATTTTAAGTAATAAAAAGTTATTGCCGAGTAAAGAGGCCCATAGTGAAAATGCTAATTTAGCCATGGAAATAAAGCATATGTTACATTTTATCTTTATTTCTTACCTTTTTAAAGAGCTGTCATCAAAGGTCTATTAATTTAAATTTTCTGTTTGCTTTCATTATACCACATGCCATTTTCCAGCAGGATTTCAGGGCCGTTTGCGTCAGGCTTTATATGAAAAAAATACCTTGCAGGATCACTTTAGTTGTATGTGCCATACATCATTTTTGCACTGTTGACAGACACATTGAATTGTTTCAGATAGCTTCTGCAGGGTTGCATTTTTTTTACTGTAGCATACATTTTGGTTTTGGTGCGCCTGCTTTGTGACACTGTGTGGAAAGCATGTGCTGTAACAAAAAAAAAAATCCTATTTTATGCTATTATTGCAGAAAATGTTCCCAAATTAATAGGAAGTTTTGTTTGCATTGGAAAATAATGCAGCACATTTTATAGATGTGTGGATAGCATATTTTTCCCAGGAGAGGGCACAAGATCATTGAGCGGTAAACATTGCACCTGAACAAAATGGATTGTCACCTTCAAGTCTGGGAAGAGAATTGAAAAACTTGCATTGTTTAGAGAGCCAGAGCTCAGCAACTATACAGTATAGCATCTAGGTAGGGACTAGGGATTTTGTAGACGATCATGAGATGTGTTGTAATTACTAGAGAAGATCTGAAATGATCTGCAGGGGAAAGAACACTATCCAGTGATATTAAGGATACCATGTATTTTTGGTGTCTGTCGTCTCAGGTTGGCAATGGAACCCTCTTGACCGACCATCCTTTGCTGAAATTCATCAAGCCTTCGAGACCATGTTCCAGGAGTCCAGTATATCAGATGGTAAGATATAATGATAATGCAGTTTTCATGCCTTTACCGATTGCTTTAGACAGAGCACATTTGGATGCTTTTTTTTTTTTTTTTGCATTTTCCTATGAAATTACAATGTGATACCTTGTATTTTTAATGTATTTTCGTGTGCATTTGTAAAGCTGAACATGGGACAAACCACTAAATACACATATAAAATATATAATAGATACATATAAGAACTTTTTACTTGCTAAAGGATTTGTAATTCAGCCCGTCCTGTTCTGTCTCATCACACAGCAAGGATCGTGACCCCAATTTTTTTATTACGATAAAAGTAAAACTCCAGGAATAATCTATTATTAATAATAACTTTGAGCTTGGTTTTCTTTAATTATCAATATGTTTCATCTGGAGGGCTACAGTGAAAGGGGGGTGCAGGAGCGACATTCCCTCTGGTACAGTGAACTCAAAGAGTCGCTCAGCACCCCGTCCATTCAGAAAAACTTTAATTTCAGTGATTACAAGGCTTTCTCTGATTGGACAAAGACAGATTGTGATATCAGCCCCTTTTCTGCACGCCATCCAATCAGAGATTGTCTTATATTCATTGAAATGAACGCAGTATGTTTTTTAAATGGAAGTGGTGTTGAGTGAGTGGGACTCTGTCTTCACTGTACTAGAGGGGATGTTGGCTCGGCAGAAAAGCACTTCCTGAATGTGGTGCAGACTGCTATGCCATTTTAAGACTCCCCTGTAGCCCTCCAGCTGTATGATATTCATAATAACGGGTAATCAAGCTGGCCCAATGTAAATGTTAAAAATAGATTATTCCCAGATTTCAGCTATAAGGAATACAGATGGTGTCATCTCTCCTACTCCAATCTACTGAATGGATAGTGAAGGTAGGAGCAGCAGATTGATAAGGTTATCCCTCTACTCTCTTGTCCTGTCATTTTGCCACTTGTGAGCTTGCTGTCCTTCCCTAATCTTAGTTCTGTTACACAAAGGGATTACAAAAGGCTGATACCAGGTCAAATTCAGGTATTTGCACTGCTTGCATTTTAAAGAGGAACTTTACCCTAATATATTAGCTTGCCTGCCTTTCTGATGCGGTGTTCTCCACAGAAAGGATACTCACCCACTCAGGGGGTCCAGTGTTGTCCCCCTGAGATCACCTTCTCTGTAACCACCACTCAGGTCTTGTGTTGCCATCTTCTTCTGGGATGTCTCCAACTGTCTTAGCTCCTACCTCACTGAAAATTTCACTTCTTGACCTCCTACAGTCTGGCTTTCACTCGCAGCACTCCACAGAAACTGCCCTACTAAAACTCACTAACGATTTACTAATTGCTAAAACCAATGGCCACTACTCTTACTACTAAAGCTCCATGCAGCCTTTGATACTGTTGACCATTCGATCCTTCTCAATAAACTCCACTGCCTTGGTCTCTGAGATTCAGCTCTATCCTGCTGTCCTTTTCTGTCAAAAGCTTGTAGACTTCACCTCCGTAACATCTTTAAAATTCGCTCCTTTTTAACCAACGGAACTACCAAGTTACTTATTCACTCTCTCGCCTTGACTATTGTAACTCCCTTCTCATAAGCCTACCTCTCCATAGTCTATCCCCTCTTCAGTCTATCATGAATGCTGCAGGATCATGTACCTTACCAACTGCTCAGTGTCTGCTACCCCTCTCTTCCAGTCCCTCCACTGGCTTCCGATTGCCCAGCGAATGAAATTCAAAATACTAGCAACATCATGCAAATCCATCCACAACTCTGCCCTGAGCTACATCACCCATCTTGTCTCCAAATATCAACCAAACCCTCCTTTCCACTCCTCTCATGACTTCCTGCTCTCAAGCCCCCTTGTTTTCTCCTCCCATGTTCTTCTCCAGGACTTTGCCAGAGCCTCACCTATCCTCTGGAACTCTCTACCTCAATTTGTCCAGCTATTCCCTACTCTGGTTGCCTTTTGGCGATCCCTGAAAACTCATCTCTTCAGGGAAGCTTATCACACCTTTGAATAGACATTTATCACTTCCATCAGCTCATCCCCACATTTATAACCTTTTGTACCACTTGCCCTACCTGATTAGATTGTAAGTTCTTATGAGTAGGACCCTCTTAATCCTTTTGTTTTGATTTTATTGTAGCTGTACTGTCTCCCTCTATATTGTAAAGCGTTGTGCAAACTGTTGGTGCTATATAAGTACTGTATAATTATTATTATACAGGATTTATATAGTACCAACAGTTTGCTCAGCACTGTACATTATAATGGGAGACAGTACACGAGACAGTACAGTATCAATACAATTCAATACACGAGGGGTTCGAGGGCCATGCTCCTTGGAGCTTACAATCTAGGAGAATATAATGTATAATAATGTCCTCGGACAGCACATGCACCTCCCCATGATGTGCCATTAGGCCTGCCTTCTCCTGTTTTGGTGAAAGGAACGCATATGATGCTACCAGAGCCTCCTGGAATATGCATGTCACATATCCCAGGGGGCACCAGGGGGCATAAACGTCATTTGCCTAGGCAAATGACAGAGGAGGGGAGGGAGTCGGTGCAAAATGTTTTACAGAGCAGCATTATTGTGTGTATTTTATATTTGCATGGATTTCATTCATTTCTTAAACGCTTGGATATGTACCATAAAAAAAGTCTTCCATCATTTTATACAAGTACTTAATATCACATTGGTAACTTTTTTGCCAGTATGTAGACTGAAGCTCTAACATCTCAATCTTATTTTTTTTTTTGCTGCAGAGGTGGAGAAAGAGCTAGGGAAGAAAGGTCTTAAAGTTACTGTCAGCAACCTCCTACCACCCCCCGAGCTTCCAACGAAGACCAGGATAACCCGAAGAGTGCCTGAGAGCAAGGATGATAACATAGATACCTCACATGCCCGGGGAGCTGGAGAACAAGGTCACTACATTATGAAGAGTTATTCTGCTGAACAATTTGATCTTTAGATATTAAATATGAGGGGAGGCAAAAGTTCATTGTATGTTAAGGCCACTAATGTTTTTGGGTGTTCTTCCTAAAATTTAGTCTCCATTTAACAATTCTCAGCATATTCACTGCATTCCAGAGGTTCACATAATTTTTCAGCTTGTATGGCCATTCGTCAGAAACTGTAATGAAAAATTTTCCTTTTTTTACCTTCAAATTTTGATCAAGGTGTGGCATATTGCTTGATACGAGTCCATTTCTTTTAGAGCTAAGCTCATGAACATTGTCCAAGTGGTCCTAAAGAATCCTCCAATGAATTCTTTAACTGACAATGTACTACCATTCATTTTCAAACCGCAAAGTGGTGGACACTTATTTCTTTTCTTTTTATTTATCATTTTTTTTATAAATATTTCCAGTAAAGTCACAGGAGGGAAACCAGAAAAAAAAACAGCTGAAAATACATAAAACAAATAAACACGCCACATAAATCAGTTAACGTACGAATGTGTACGAGGCCTGGCCCAAGTCAGGTGAAATTTTACACGGTAAGGTATAGATGTAATAATAATTATGAGCAGTGGGGGGTCCAAGGGTCTTTCTCAATAGGAAGGGACACCGTGCAGCCAACAGAGATGCCATTTCTCAGTTTGTATAGGTACCCCGCGTGGCCGATGCAATAGTTAGAAAAGACAAATATTTGTGAACGCTTATTTCTGCATTTTCATTTATACATGGCACTGCAGAAATCACCCTTTGGAGGCCAGTGTGCCTGTTGACATCTGTGAAACAAATCACCGTTCACAGAAACATTGTACAGATCTGTTCCGAGCAGCTCTGTACTATGTCATTCCTGTGGTAACCAATCACAATGATCACAAATGTAAATGCTGATCGGAGAGTTCACCCTTTGAACAATGGAGAAGGAAAAAAAGGATGGATTAATGCAGCCTTTCTCAACCATTTGAGGTTTCTTCAGGGGTGCCTTGACAAAATCCCTAAAAATTGCCCAAAACTTGTATACAAGCCCGCGGGTGGAACAAGCCTACCTTTTAGTTACACAAAGCCACAGGTTTTCATTGTGCACCATTACAACCTTCTAGCCAATGGCATCCTGACAACCAATGACATCATCAGTTGATAAGGAGAATGTCCGTTGCCTGCACAGCATCCTAGTTTGACCCTCCCCTGCCCCTCTCCATCAGCTGGGGTAACATTAGCTTGGAGGGAGAAGAGAAACACTGGAATACTAGTCAGTACCACTGTGCAAAAGTGTATCTGCTTTGGAAGAATAAATCGCCTCTAATGTTGGGTGTCCTACATGTGTGGATGTTGCTGCGTTATATAAAAATATTAGAATAGTTTTTCACATTTAAGAATGGGGTGCCTCAGGACTGTCCATGATTTTAAAGGGTGTCCCGGGACTGTCCATAATTTAAAGGGTGCCTTGACTGAAACAAGGTTGAGAAACCCTGGACGAATGTATGAATGAGTCATTTGTTTATTAATTCCAGATCACTGGATCCCAAGGTTTTGAGGTTATTTTTAATCTTTCACCTCGGGTGCCTGCTTTCCATAAAGGAGTAATTGCAGATGTTTTCGTACTTTTCTTGCATGATTTATCTAAATTTCATTTGGATAGTGTTCCATGATGGAGTAGTTGTCAAGCTATCACAGCACTGATAAAATGACCTGGTACTGAAACAGTATTACAGACTAGTACTGAAGAAGTTAATTTAACTTTTTGGTGATTCTATTATTACGTTGCCTCAACCTTGGACACCAAATGTCCCATTCAAAAGTATATTATTCTTGTTCTCATTTTCATGATTGGAGCATGACAGTATAACTTCAGTTGTATGAGAATTATTCTTCTGAAGAGTGTGCTCATTGTTTTTGTTCTTTTGAAAAGCAAGATTCAGTTAGGGATCATGACAACTTGAGCCTTCACTTCTTATCCCCATGACAACCAAAGACAATGCATTTTTTTTTTAGTAGCAATTAAAATGCTTCTTAGGAAAATATTTTAGTAAGACCTTAGTGAGAAACCACTGCAAAAATAATCAAACTTTTGAACCTCTCCTTGTACATTGTTCCTTTTTAGGAGTTGCTCGCTGCTGAACTCAAAGCAAACAGTCTTGAATACTGTTAATCATACAGATCATAATTTAGCTAGTAGAAGTTATACTTATTCTCTGATATTGAAGATGTTTGTTAATTTTCCATTTCAAGGCCAAAAAGGATGTTGAACATGGACTCTGCACAAAGCAGTGCTCAGAAAGCTGTTGGAGTAAGCAGCAAAACATCTTCAACATTGCAGAACAAGTCCAGTTGAATGTGACTAACGTGCACTACCTATAGCTAAATGCACACTTTAAATACATATGAGTGTTATTTCACCTTCCAAAGAATTTTTATTTCTATCTATTCCTGAGATTTGCAGCCCTGCCATACAGCAGAGCTCGGTTGGTGACCTGCCTTTTCTTCATTGTTAACCTCCCTAGTGGTATGATTATGTCCATATTTCTGTGCTCAAAGTGGTACATTTTTTTGCATGGAAATATGTATTTTTTTTATTGTAGGCCTGTAATTTTTAGGAATAACTCACTGACAATCTGTCTAAACAAGAGTCTAGTAAACATTCTGGGTAGGACAAAACTTGAAACACAAAATCATAAATTATAATTGAATAAATAATCATAAAAATAATAATATAATAATAAATTTAATTCAATAATATAATCAAACCAAAAACACAGAAATTTTAAATATAGCACCAAGTTTGCACATCGCTGAGCAAAATCGTTTTCAGTGTCTGATGAGGAATTTCCCCACAAATCATTGTCACTCAATTCTGCAAGTGGTTCTGATTTACTATCGCTGTTCTCTAGCCGGTCTAAACCCCACTTTTGACCAAAAGGGACGCTTTTTGGACGCCATGGACTTTTCTAAGTTTCCAGGCAGAAAGAACAGTCAAAATGCAAGCAGGGCACAGGACAAAAGCACTCGGGACAAAATGTATGTAAAATGGTTTGATACAGTAATGTTTTACTATGTCAAATTCATTTCTAAGAAAATGACAGTTTAAAAAAATGTTTTAATTTGCCGCTGTTCCGGCCCCCGTACGTCCCGATGCTCGCAGGGACCAGAAAACGGAAGCCGGATGCCGGCATCGGCCGGAGGAGATAGCCGGGGACTCAGCAGGGGACGCATCGTGGGAGCGAAGGACAAGGTAAGCGCTGCAGGGAATCCCTGAGCAACGCCGCATGGTAAGCCCGAGTGTAGCTCGGGGTTACCGCTTGTGGTACTGAAACTTTACCCCGAGCTACACTCGGGAATACCGCCAAGGAGGTTAACTAGGTCCCCTCTCTGCCCTCAGCCTGTGATTAGACAGTGAAGTAGAACAACTGATCATTTGCAGAGCAGGGTGAGACAGTGTTGTGCTTGATTTTAAACAGTATTGGCACTTATTTTTTAATGTTTTACATAGCTATACCTGCAAAAAGTGCCAGCCTGAAGTGAAGAAGCAGAACTTAATTTTCTGACTAAAGTTCTACTGTAAAGTGTATGTCTGGGCAAAGGAAAAAAAAAGAAAAAATATTCAGTACATCTCTGCTATATATGCATATGTTCCTATGTTTTGTCTTTTTAAAAACACTGCAAGTACAGAGAAAAGTTAGTTCATCCTGCCAGAAATCCAGTGAACATCTACCTTTTATAGTTACCTGACAACATTGCCTCAACTGTAATAACATCCGAAGCAGTGTTGTCAGCCTTGCCCATTTCTCTTCTGCTGAGCTACAGAACACCTCCCCCTTTTGCTATAGAGAGGGGGGGTGTCTGTAGCACTATGGGGCTAATATTATTGCTTGGGATATCAGTGCAGTATAGGTAGTGTTGTCAGCTCACTACAGGAAGTTAGGAGCTCATTGGATGTCTGACAGTTAAACGGGTATCTCTCAGTATTTTCATATCTAAAACATAAAGAAATGTGCATTTTTGCAGAGATGTACAAAATTTTTTCATCCAGACATACACATTAAATGCATGGAAAACAGCCTTTTATTTTCCTATCTATACAATGGTCTTATGCAGGTCAGAATGTCAAATGTGACCATACTTTCTGACTACTGCCTGGTCTTGGTATAATAGCCAAATGCTTGTAGCTGTTAAAGTGTTCACCTATTAACTTGAACTATTTCTCCTTCTGATACGTTCTAGAAATAATTTGTACACTCAGTCAGTAAAACTTTTTTTGATAATTGACAGAGAATTTCTAACTAGGTTTTGTTAAGGTATAACTAAACACAAAACTTTTTTTTTTTTAAGTTTTGGATAGAGTGCAAAGGGTTTAGATCACCTGTCTGTTTCTATTGCTGTCTGTGTCCCTCATTAGTGAGATTCACCCTCTCTATTTTTCTGCTTACCATTATTATTGAAAGTAAAAGAAAATCACAAATTTTGGGTTACCCCTAGAAAAGTAATAGAGGGGAAATCTTCCAATGGGGGACATTAGTTCTGGGATCCCTAAAGAATTCCCGTAATTTGCAGGGATTTTCTATCACTTCCTGTTTTACTATGGTACAGGAAGTGAACGGAAATTTCTGCAATGGAGTACAGATGGCCAAAAAAAAACAAATTTGACAGGGGTTATAACTTTCCCTTACACTATCTAGAATGGAAAAAAAAAAAAACGTTTTGCCTATAGTTCTACTTTAAGCTGGCTACTGCTTATTCAAGATTAATAATCCACCCAACTGCTCCAGGAAGTGCTCAAGTATGGTAAATCACTTGAAATATCACACAAACACTTGTAAACTGTCCCTTTTCATTGGAAAGCCAATTAAAGTACCTATCACTCTTAAATGTCAAGGATGGTGGCCTATTCATTCTTAATAGAAAGTGGAGTGCTCATATGACTGTGGTCCCTAATAAATGTATGAAATTTCAGGAGTCGACATTTACTACCTGCACTGAAAGGAGAAGTATTGGCAAAGCTATTTTGTCTATATTTCTTCTATCAATCATAGTAGTGCACATAGTTCTGCACTCCTGTGACCCAGATTCAGCCGACACCGGGATAGAGCCAGTCCAGGCTGCAATAATGTCAGGATCCATCCAGATGCCTGACTGGTAGCTGGCTTAGCCTCTTCATGCACTGTGGAGAGCCTGAGCCAGCTGCTCCCGCCATCTGCACAGCCTGGGGCCCCAGTGAACACTGGCGAGGTAGAGCAGGATTTCGTGACTTACAGTCACCACTCTCTGCTCACTGAAGACCAAGAGCAGAGCGATCAGTGGTCTTTGATCAGTTCTCTGTTATTAAAGTGGCGGGGGACAGATACAGTATTGGACGAATGCTGCATCCACCTTGATGAGTATGAATGTGTTTTTTGTTTGAAAATCTGCACTTGTCTTTGAATTTTAGGATATTGCTACTTTTTAAGTGTTGCTGAGCCTTAGCTTTGATCCATTTTTCTCATAAACTTTACAATAACATTGTAAGAATTTGCACAGGGCAGTTGTCTTCACAGCCTCTAATATTTGTATCTGTTTTTTTCAGATGTTTTGGAAAATGAGCCAGCTGTTTCTCCCCTTCTGCCTCGTAAGGAAAGAGGTGGAGCTACAGATGGTGGCGCTACAGAAGATGACCGTTTGTTTCCCAGTCAGAAAAGAGCCAACCTGTTCAGCACTTTGATTAAAAGGAAGAAAAAGACAGCTCCTACCCCACCCAAACGCAGTAGCTCCTTTCGTGAAATGGAACAAAGGTGCTTAGAGGGAGAAAACAGAGATGCCAGTTTTGGAGGCGACCTTGATGCGCTAAAATTCCCAAGTAATGGGATGGCAATGACTAATGGATCAGTGCAAGGAAGCAGCGGTTTTATGCCCTCACAGTGGAAAAAGTCTAGCACTGTTGTAGGTCGGCAGCCAACACCAGGAGAAGATGATGGCAACGGCAACACAGGCAAACGATTTCAAAGATCCTCTTCTGCATCCTGTATGCCTCCTGGGTCAAAAGATATGGAGTGGAGGTCAGTCACCCTCCCTAGAGAAATGTCATCATCCAGGTGTATGTTGGATGTGTCTAGTTCTGGAAGCAGCCAAAAAGCAGAAAAACCTGCTCTGCCTCGAAAGCGGGGCAATGAAAGCAAACCAGACTTTACATGTCCCAGAGGGGCTGTCACACCACCTCCTCGTTTGCCCAAAAAAGGTGAGGAGACAATGGATGAAGTGTTTAAAGACCCAGAACCAAGTCCAGAATCTAGTCCACCCAGTCTGACTCCAAGATTGCCACGTAGAAAACCTGGTGGTCCTTCCTCCTCTGCATTACAAAAAGAGGAGACAGGAAACATCAAAACTGGCACGGACCTAGTTTCCTTAACCAGACAACCAACAGGTCCAGGTAAAACTGAAGCAGATCTTCGTCTCCGGAGACTAAAGCCAACTGAAACCACCACCAAGGACAAAATGAAACTATTGAAGGTCAAACCTAGCCCGCCCCTACCACTTTCCAGCCCAGCCTCATCATTGTCTTCCGTCAGCTCTTCCAACTTGGGTAAATCCACAAAACTTTCCTCACAGAGCCCAAGCCATGATTCTAGCACAAGTGAAACAAAGCACAAACTGACAAACCAGAGCGAGGATCATTTAAAAATAAGCACTGCTGTGACTGACAGTGCCAAGAAGACAGTATTAATATCCAACACCAAACCCCAACCATCTGAGAAACGAGCTGGATCTCAGGCAGGCATTGGAGGAGCAGTAGATCAAACACAGCAACCAGCATTGTCTTCCTCATCTTCTACTGCTTTTATTCCCCTTCTTTCTACAAGAGTTTCTTTACGGAAAACCCGCCAACCTCCAGAGAAACTGCTGAGTGGAACAGTCACAAAGGAGACTTTATTGGAGAGCACAGAATGTCTTCGAGCTGCCATCAACCGTAACTCTGAACAAATGGCTAGCCACAGTACTGTACTCGAGGCTGCCAAAAACCTGCATGCTTTCTGTACCAGTTACGTGGACTCTATTCAACAAATGAGGAACAAGTTTGCTTTCAGAGAAGCAATGAGCAAGCTGGAGAACAGTCTTCGAGATCTTCAAATCTGCCCCGCTGCTGCCTCCACTGGAGGAGGACCTGCCACACCTCAGGACTTTAGCAAGCTGCTTGCCTCTGTAAAAGAGATCAGTGATGTGGTCCAGAGGTAGCATTTGAAATTCAGGGTTTTAAATCCAAGCTGAGAATGGAGGACATCAGGGCACAAATGATTAAGCCTCAACCCTTTCTCGTCCCTTGGGGCCAAGCAAGGTTGTCATGGTTTGCTTTAATACTGGTGCCTGAAAAAAGTGCTATGCATCTGAATTTTGGATTGGGGATATTGAGGCCCATCGTGCCATTTGGCAATACAGATGCACACCTTTCCTTAAATGAGCACACCCCTTTTTTTCATTCTACTCAAGAGACTGCAGTTCTCTCTGACACGGACCTTAGAGGTCTACAGGTTTCTTTTTTTGTTAAAGTCTTTAATTTTTCACAATACTGGAACCTGTGTGGGACTTATATGCAGGTAGTATTGTAAAGCAGAACCAATGCCATTGTCTAACACTGCTACTTCCTGATTGCCACTGCCTCATCTGATATAGAACATCAGAAGATAAAGGGGGATGGTTATTTTGGCCTGCTCTGTGCACACACAATGCACAGATCCCAAAAAACATTCCAAACATTCGACCTAAAATTTGAGCACATAAAAAAGGACACTGTAGCATTCCATGTTTCAGTTCAGTAGTAATCTAAACCGTTCTATTGGAGTAGCTGTTTTTAGCTCCTCTTTAAGCAATATTCAAAGTGTTCGGTAATGCAAGTGTTTCTAGCACATGCAGCACATGCACATCAAATTGGTGGCACAGAATCTTAGCAGTGATTGTATGTAAAAGCCACCTCTGTGTGTTTATTGGTGAAGACTGTTTTCTTGTTGTTTTATTTTTTTTACTTTAAAGTGCAATTCCTATTTTCTTTATATTTTTAAAACCAAAAAAAAAAAAGTTGAAATGGCTAGGTGGGGGCTGCCTATATTTATAGTATACTGCTAAAATGTGAGCACGGATTTGCCTAACTTTGTCAAATTAAATTTTTAAGAAAATACATAGTTTGAACATTTGAGAATGGATATAGCTTGGTATTAGGAGCCAAGAGCACACATAATTGCAGGGAATGTGACGTTTCATGGGAACTCATCAACAGAGTGTTGAAGCTGGCCAGTTTGTGGGTTGATCCTTATTCAGGTGCCTAGAAACTAATGATGCAAAGTGCCTTAAGCCTCTGTGATGTCACTAATACCCAATTAACTTGTTAGCCTCAGTATTGACTCCACTCCCAAAATATGTGCCTCCAGTATTCATTGGTGAAAAGTCCACTTGAAGCCTTTTATGTCTCACATTCTAGTTGTACCTGTATTTCTAAAGAAGAAAAGAAAAAAAAAAACATTCGGTGCCTCCCACTTAATGTTTTACTTTTTTTGTATTATATTTTATGATCATGCAATCATTGTATCTCTCTCCCCTTTTCCTTTTAGACGTTTACAGTAATTTTAAATTTTTCTGTATAAAATTCCAGATCGTGGTTTTATTTTTTTTTTCTCCTTTACAAGGATATACAATTTTATATCTATAAATATAAAGTTAAATGTGCACACACAGATGCCTTCCTCATTACAAAGAATATTTGGCACTGATACGGAAAAAGTGCCTCAAATGCAGTGGGGTGTTTTGGAGTTGGCCGTCAGGCTGTCAGCCATGTGCTTGGCTGGGGCAGCTCAGGCCCAAGGACAGGACATCTGTGCCTATCATCTACTGTACTGGAGGTTGCTTCTGGCCTTTCTGGTCACTTAGTGTTGTTGAGGAGTTAGGCACTGCCAAATGATTATAACTGAGGGGTTCAGAAATTAAATTAAATCAGTGACGTTCTTCCAATATTGTCCTCCTGAACAACTTTTTGAGGGGTTTGGGCTGGTGGCATATACAAATCAATCTGCTCCTTCCCGGTTTTGCAAGGAGCCAAGGCTACACTGGCCGGAGCATTCAGCAGTTGCACTCTGTCAGTTCTTTTCTAAGCATGCATTTTTACCCCCAGTACAGGTTGGAATTTTCACATGACATTTTCTTGTAGACAGGAAATCACCAGCTTTATTTCCAGAGCACAAGTGCTGAGATCCAGGTACTGTTTAGGCACCTTCCACTTGAGTAGTTGGGTAGCCAACCTTCAGCCCCCCCTTAATTTTCATTGGCATTAGATTAAGGATTTATTGGGAAGTATTTAGATCAATGACATGAGTTGTTAGGCAAAAGAAAAATGACAGCTGATTGGTGTCAATGTAGCCCCTTCTATGTCAAAGACCTTAATGGGTTTTCTAGTTGATGTAATAATCCAGACCTCCTTGGCACAGTAATTAGTGGGGCCCCTCACAATATCATGACATCATAAAAGCATATGCAATATTTTCTTTGCTGTGTTTTATTAAGCAATCTTTGTTTTTTTCCAGCTCACTAAAAGTTTGATTGTGTTGCTCCATTAAATTTACACCTTGCATGTTATACATTTGATTTTTGCAGTGTTGTGTAATTGTCACTTCACACAGACTATAGCTCAGATTTTCTTCCTCCTAAACATACCATATGGTGCGAAATGGTAGCTTTTAATAATCAATGTGTAACTCCAGCCAGGTCTTTCTTTTTTGTTTGATACACTAGAACAGTGTTGACTGGAGATACACTTTAAATGTTTATTTCATGGGGGAAAGTAATGATTCCATACCATTCCTGTGTTTTATTTTTGTTGAACATTTTTTTATGTAACAGTTATCAAGAGATAACTTAAACAGATGTAAGGTTAGCTGCCATCAGTACAGAATTTTTTAGTAATTGTTGGGTGACAATAGCCCGCCATGTGATCAATGCATTCCTTCAAGGTCACCCTCTCAATGGACAGTAATATTCCCTAAGATATACGTGTCTATATTCAAAGAGTCTGTAAACCTTTCCCACTATTCTACAATTGTTTATTCAAAATCTACCCATATGGTTAATGAACTTGTATGCTTGCTCACAGCTTTTCTATTTACTTCAGCTGAAAGCCCCTCTGAAAATGTTGACAATTAGATTACTTATACCATATCCTCATTTTAAACCATATAAAAAGAATTAAAATGAATGCATACTTATTTAGGCAAACACACCATTTTCTGTCTCTGTGAAAATGTTCCCTTGGCTTTGTGTATTCTAGTTTTACATACCAGGATTAGCACAATTTTTTTTTAGGATTGTGTATATGAAACATTAAGGAGGAATCCAGTCTACTTGCAGCTGAGATGGTAAAAAAAATAAATAAAACAGACCCACCTAAAACTGATTTTTTTGGCAAGGTGAGATAGATTTGATCTGGGACCCCAATAGTAAAATCTTTCCATTTATCCCCTTGTCACTGCTGTAGTAATTACTATTTAACCTTTATATAATCCACAATGCAGTGCAAATCAAAGAAGAGCAGCACCACTACCAGTGGAATATATGGACTTCATGGTTCAGCAAGTGACAACACTAGCAAAACTCAGGTTGGCACAGCTCTGCCATGGTTGAGGATATTCTCCCTGGTAGAGTCCTGGCATTCAAGATCCTAAACAGAAATCATATGTTTACCTTGACACTACTTTAAAAGGTTTATATTCTCTAATACCCTAGTAATGCTAAGTAGCCTTTACGTTTTTCTCTTGCTAGCCATGTGGTTTTGGAGCTTATGCAACACTCATTAAGGTGGTACATATTTATAAAGATAGATGCTTACACAAAAATATATTAATTTTTATATCCCTTGTTTCATAAAATCACCCCATTATGCTCAAGTGGCAGTTTTACTGACTGCTGAGAAATAATTAGTTGATTCATGGATCTCAGCACTGTGCACAAGTGTCATCTTGAGCAACTTGGACCTTAAGGCATGATTCTAATTAGGCAAGACAGTCATTTCTCTCCAAACACTAGCTGGATGGAAAGGCACAGACGTTTAACCCCACAATATACCCTTGTCAGTAGTGATGTGGTTGGATGAATGCAGCACTGAACCTAATATGTGAAGTGGGTGTCCTGTCCTTCAGCAAGAAAGGGCAACAAGGTACGGCTTTATATATATGCATATACACCTCTGGGGTGTATACCCCTTGGCTTACACGTGTCACTAGCGTGTCTATGATGTCACTTCTGTACATAAAATTTTTTCCTGTATGTTTCTGTAATGCCATCTTTGTGGCAGTTCTACAACTTTGAAAATACAAGCCATTTACATACAAAAGTGTCTTGTGTCTTTGCTTTTCATTATGAGGACCTTGTGGCTTCTGATGCAAAATACTACAATACTTAGTATATTTTGATCGCTGAAAAATATTCTTTTCAGCATGGCTTTAATAAATTTATGGTTTCCTCAAATATTACATACTTTACATTGGAAGTCTAAGCAATTTGTTCCTTCCCAGGTGAGGCCTCCAATGACCCCTGTGCATAGGAAAGAGCTACGAACCTCCCCATGCAAAGAAACTACGTCTGATGGTTCTCAAAGTCAGGCGCATGTTTCACAACCCATGGCCCAACCAGCTGTTGAAGCCTGCTTTACGAGATGGAGAAAATCCCAACCCAGAACCCTTTTTTACCCTTCCTGAGTCTGCCATCTTTTACAGAAATAATCTTCAACCCTGATAAAGGAGATATTCTGTTCTGTGTATACTTCGGTTTATGATGTAATAAAGAATTTTGGACTTTGCAAACACTGGTATGGGACCTCATCTCTACTCAGACTCTTGTATCTAAACCAGTGCCTTAAAGACTAATTGACAAATGTAGGGTAGCATTGGTTACATGAGCAAGCTAAAGCCCAGGTAACTAAACTATCAGCCATCAGGTTTGCATTAAAGGATAATTGTTTTTATTTCAGATACTTACACTCACCTGCCACTTTATTAGGTACACCTGTTCAATTGCTTGGTAACACAAATTGCTAATCAACCAATCACATGGTAGCAACTCAATGCATTTAGGCATCTAGACGTGGTGATGACGACTTGCCGAAGTTCAACCGAGCATCAGAATGGGTAAGATTGGGAATTTAAGTGACTTTGAAAGTGGCATGGTTGTTGGTGCCAGACAGATTGGTCTGAGTATTTCAAAAACTGCTGATTTTCTGGGATTTTCACGCATAACCATCTCTAGAGTTTACAGAGAATGGTCCGAAAAAGAGAAAATGTTCATTTAGCAGCAGTTGTGTGGATGAAAATGCCTTATTGATGTCAGAGGTCAGAGGAGAATGGGCAGACTGGTTGCCTTGATATTCAGATGGTAGAGTCAGAATTTGTCGTAAACAACATGAAAGCATGGATCCATCCTGCCTTGTATCAAAGCTTCAGGCTGGTGGTGGTCTAATGTTGTGGAGGATATTTTCTTGGCACTAGTAAGGTGTACCTAAAAGTGGCCGGTGAGTGTATATAGTGTTGTCAATTTACTCATGTTTTATATATATATATTGTACATTCACATCAGTCCCTGCCCTCAAGGAGCTTACAATCTAAGGTCCCTAACTCACATTTTTACATACACATACTAGGGCCAATTTAGACAGAAGCTAATTTATCTACCAGTTTGTCTTTGAAGTGTACGTGGAAACCAGAGTACCTGGAGGAAACTCACACAGGCACAGGGAGAATATGCAAACTCCAGGCAGGTAGTTGCGTGATTGGGATTTGAACCGACAAGCCTAGTGCTGCCAGGAGGAAGTGCTAACCACTTAACCACTGTCCTGCCCAAGATATCCTTTTAAGACCATGCTGAAGCAGTATTATCAGCACTATGTCATTGTCATTTGCCTTGCCAATCTTTGTGACTGCAAAATGGATACATAATACACACCTTGCAGGGAAGTCACCCTAAATGCGCCTGTCTACTTCCATAAATGGAGAAAAGCTTTTGAGGGTTTAATCATTTTCTAGCAATCAGAAATCTTTGTGTCACTTTACACTAAAAGACTGTAACATACAAAGCTGTGATTTTGCTAAACTAATAACTTGCAGTCATTGGTTTCGCTGACCTGTCCATTAAATAGGGGTCCATACTAACTAGACTCCATATCTGCACCTGAGGCCATCTATTTAGCTCTCTTGAGTTTGGTGTGTTAATATAAGCCACAGAAAAAAAATTGCTGGCTAGGAGAATGACGCTGTTGATGTTTTCTCCTAAATTATTTTGAACTGAATGTGTCTTGAACATGGCCTCGCTGAGCTGGTTCCCAAAGGGCCAGTCATCAGACCTGAATGCTGTCAAGTGGAGGTAGAGAGAATATTCATCCCTGTGCCATGCTTATCTGACTATCCAGACTGTCCTGAAGCTCATATAAGGTATTGGTGAAAGCTGGAAAATATGAAAAACTTCCACCATTTTATTGAAATGTATGGGGAAGGCAAAACTAAGGTGGTGTTTGGGTGTTATTAGGGCACAATGGGCTGTACGTGACTTGTGGGATTTACAGTAACAATTTTCAACTATCTTGGGCATGTTGAAGAGCCAACAAATGGCTCCTTTATTAGCTTTTATTTTTCCTTTTTTTTTTTTTTTTTCTTCCAGAAAGGAAAACTGAGAATGATAAAAGAGAAACAAAATTGAATGCACCAATACAGAAATCACAATCAAATACACAAAAAAGAAAAAAATATACCAGATAAAATAAACAAGACTACCCAAATACACCCTTTAAATAAGAAAAAAAATATAACTTTTTGTTTTTATATTGTTGAAGCAGCTCCATGAGCAAAACTGAAGATCTCCACTACCGGGAAATGTTGCCCAAATCACTCCTAGTTGAGGTCGTACATTCCTTGAGGCTTGCTTCATACTTTTGTGTTGGCTTTATGTGCATTCCAGTGCCATACATTTTAAATGGAACCCTCTAAATAAAGGGGTTTGTTAACTTTTATTGGTACCACAAGGCACTGTAACACACCACCATGTGTTGTGGTACGTGGCAAAAAATACCGCTAATGTTTCTCTTCTCTCTGATTCGTCTGCAGCCCACTCAATTGAATGGCCTGCCCTAACACAATGAACATTAACTCCTGTCATAATGCACATTAACGCAACGCATTGAAGCAGACAGGCGTGAAGCCAGCCTTATAATACTCTCTGCTGCAATTCTGATATTGCACAATCACTGTAGAAAAAACATACAGTATTTCAAATAAAAGTAAAAAAAAAAAAAAAGCCAATACAGAATTGTAAAAAGTTGGTAATGTGCGCGTAAGTGTCTTTTGTATGTTGACATTGTGCTGTGATGCTTTAAAAAAAAAATAAAATGCTGCCCAAGAGAATTATCATTTACTTGATTGCAGATCGGCAGAAAAACAAGCAAATACAAATCCCTGCCCATCACAAAGCGGACAGCGTGTATCAGTGTGTACTATTGATCCTGCGCCTGTTGACTTTGCAAGGTAGGTGTGAGGGTATTTGAAATGAGGCACTGAAATGCAAAGACATTCCCTTACAGCTTAATCAACCTGAAAGATCTATATTTTCCCATGATGTTGGGAAGAGGCCTTAGAGTCTGCCTTTACCAGAGAGGGAGGTAGAAGGGGGGTTAGTGAGTAACGAGAGACAAGATTGACATTTGATATAATTACATTAACTCTTTCATTCTGGATGCGGTCAGTACTTGTCATGTCTAATCATTGGCCCAGGCTTTTTGAAAGTCTTTAGCGGATCACTGCTGCTCTCCTAGGAATAGTCTGATAGACAGATCTGAAAAGAAAATTAACCCTGCAGTGTCATGGAATATCTTGCCTTGTATTCCTGCTTCATTGATTTTAGTACTTGCGGGAATACGATGGTTAATGGAAGGCAGGTGTCAAAATGGAGTATTTGCTGATAGCTGTGTAATCTCCCAACAGGTCACTAATGTGACATGCTCCTGCCAGCAGGCTCGCTCACCCCCTTTATTCCTTGTGGTGTCACCAGCTTTGTGTAATTGGCCGCTGTGTAAGAATATAGGTTAGGTTTAGTTCCCAAACTGGTAATTTAACAAAAGTACCATACGGTCTAGAAAGCGGTTTGCAATCTTATCTAGCTATCCAGCTATTCACAAATGTTCGGCTGCTGTCACATTACTATATGCCTGAATAGTGGGAGTCTTAAGATTGGCCATCATTAATTGTGGCATTTGGGAATCACTCATTGGCCTTGTACTCAGCAAGCTTTAGAAACACATTAAGGTGTTTTCAGCACTGGACGTTTAGGAAGAGTGATTTAAAATTCTAACATCTATGTGGATGCAGACCAATTTAGTACTGCTTTTAGGGCTAATAGGCAGCAGATGGTGGAAGGCAGTTTATAATGTGAATGACGATAAAAGATCTATTGTTAACAACCATGCTTTTTTTTCAGGGACAGTCCTACATTCTTAACATACATCTGGAAATTGTGTAGTGTTAAAGATTGGTGGAAATGTATGTAAACCCCTGCAGTTAAATTATCCTATTTGCTACCTTTTGGTCTGTTTAATATATAATTGAAAGCATTTTATCATATCTATTCAAAAAGTACAAAAAACTGAAAGAAATAGAGAGCTGTCCTGTACACAGTTTCTGTGTCATCTCAAGGACTCTAATTAGCTCTCCTAGTTTATATTGTACCTTGAAACTACAGAATGATTAGTGTCTGTATTGCAGAGAGTAGCATAAGGGGAAGGTTTGAGCAGCTTAGCAAAAGACAACAGGACAGGACTGATACCACTCAGGAGTGGGAGTGCATTTCTGGGACATCAGGTAATTTACTGCCCTTACTGGGTATTCAGAGGGATAAATCATGGGATACGTGTATGTATTGCAGTGATGTACAGCATATTTGTTTTTTATTTTGCCCTGACATACACATACCCCAGCAGGGGCGGACTGACCATTTGGAAACTCGGGCACTGCAACAAATTCCAGCTGTCCCTCCCACAAAATCCACCAGCTCACTGGCAAAAGCCTGCTGGGAAAACAGCCATTTATAGTATGAGGACTACACCTTCACCATGAACCAACATCGGCCAAAGTGACCTTGGCCAATGATAGCTCAAGCAGTGCATTGTGGGACATTCAGTGGTAGGAATTACTGACCAATGGCGTTCTTAAAGTGTTACTAAACCCAAGACCCGGCATGCACTATATCTGGTCTCCCACAGTACACACAACATGGAAGTGTAATTTTTTTAGTAAATATAAACTGCTAAATACCTTTTCTCATCAGCAGTTAGAGCAGTCTTGTGACTTCTATCAGTGTCCAGCAGAGCACTGGTCAAAGATGGTAGGAGGAGTTTTCATTCTCTCACTGTCCTATGGGAGTGTAGGACCTCTGACCAGGGGCGGACTGACCATTTGGAAACTCGGGGTCAGTAGGGGGCCCCATGAGATGCCCCTGGTACCTTTTTCATAGGCTTTTTTGAGTTTGGGCAAGAATACAGGGGCCCCATGATCCCCTATTGCCCGGGGGCCCCATGAGTTGTCAGTCTGCCCCTGTACCCCAGTCACACTGGATGCGACTTTGCATGCCATACCTCATTGTCCGCAATTACAGCTGTCATATCGGTGTGGTTCCGACTTGGTTAGAGCCGCACCGATTTCTAAAGTAGAACATGCACTACTTTTGGTGCGATTTTCATAGACATCTGTGTCAGATGTCTTGCAAATTGCACCTGAAATTGGCATGTCACCTGACTTAGAAATCATGCAACTTCACTGTAAGTCGCACGATTTCTAAGTCAGGTTTGATGTGACCGGGGTGTAAGTCCTGTTTACTTGGAAATGTCATGTTCAGCTCAGGCATACTGCCTGTTCATGTTATCTTGGTGTTTAAGGTTTAACATTTTAACCCACCAAAAAAAAAGTGTTGCGTTGTAATACATACACCAAGTGAATCTAATATAATAAAATGCATGAAACAGCTTACATCATAATGATTAAATCACTAAATAAATCCACAGTTCATAAAAAGTGCACTCAATGGATAAATAATGTCAAAAAGTTCATAGAAAGTGCAAGTCAATCGCAGTCAAGTGCTGGAAAGCGGGTGATCAAGGTGCTCTATGTGTGCATCTGGAAATACTTGTGCCTCCAGTATTCTCCCAAGTGTGCGCCACCAAGAGGGATATTAGAGCCTTTTACCAGAATCTATGACCTCTATAAAAAGAAGGTCTAACATTGCGTAAGAGGGAGAACCCTCGATGGATAGATGGGTCACAGCTCATCTCTGGTCTGGGATCTCGCAGCAAATATGAGACAATATGCTCGCAAGGAGAATCAATCCAAGTAACCACCTGGTGTAGAATAACTTAGATTGCTTGAGGGTTTAGGTATTCCAGATATTGCAGCTTACACTATGCCTTAAGGGAGATCTCCAGCCATGTGTGATAACTAATAATTATCCATTATTTGAGTGCACTTTATATGAATTGTGGATTTATTTATTATGATGTGAGCTTGTTGTATGCACTTTATTATATTGGATTCACTTGGTTTATGTATTAACAAATTTATTTTGGTGAATTTACTTTGTAATGGTATGTGTTGATAAAGTGAGTGCTGCTTTCTTCTATTGGATTTTTTCTGATTTCTTTGTTTTGATTATTTGTGACACTTTTAGCGCAGGATATCTTTGCTGTTTAACATTTTAACCTGTCGGATGAAAAAAGTGCTATCAAATTTAGTTAAATTAATGTATTATTATGGCATTCTAGTATGCCGCAGTCCTCCAACACACCAAACTGGGACACTTGCACAGATCAAGGGTTCTGCCTTCTGACTGACTCCTCCAGATTCCGTCCAACACTTACCACATGCCTGAAGATCTAGGTACTTGATTGCGTGATCTCTGCTTGATCGGTCAATCTGGACTGGGTCCCTTTCCTCTGATAAAGCCTTCAGACATGTAGTGACCCATAAAGGGAACCTATAGGTGTGTTTTTGAGCACTTCTGTTACTCCATTCCATCAATACTGTTAACATCGCTTTATTTGATAGTTTCACTTCCAATGTCTCTTTGAATCTTACTAGTACACACTGTTGATGTCTGCCTTTAGCTTTGCATGGATCAGGAGTTAGACTAAGGGTGGGCCAGCGCTGTGAGCCCCTGAATAAGGGTAAAGATAGTAACTAGAGAAGATGACCTTCGGCTGCCATTTTTTTCCTTCAGGCTTACGATGACAGAGTACCATTATTGTACACCTCAGCTCACCACCCAGCAGTGACCCAGTAGCCTTTAATGTAAAAACAACGAAGGTGCTCTGAGTAGGGGGAGAAGAACTACTGAACTGCTATGAGTGCTAATTTGGATGACTTTGGTGTTTCTGTGAACTTTAAAGACTGCGCAAGTCAATGAAAGCTTGTTCCATGCTCATTTACTGCTTATTTAGAATATGTAAACTTCAATGTCCTTAACCTGGGCCACAGGATCACTTTAGCACTTCCGTAGTGCTTTTTTTAATTGGCTAATTCATCTATTTTAAGTATTAATGTTGGCCACCCTAACAGTTAGGAACATGGTTTCTCTAAATGCCTCACACATGACGGTGATGAAATATTTCTGTTGCTGAAGCAACCACTCCAATCTTTCCTTTCATGTTCCTGTTGAAAACAAGGGAAAATCTGGCTGCTGTCCAAGGTTGATACATTTAAGACACCATTACACTTGAGATGAAACATGAAATAATAAGAACTTTTATCTGAAATCTATCTTGCTGCCCATTGCAACACAAAAGCGTAGAAGATAGAATCTAGTTACTGTGGACCATGTAATAGTTGGGGTTTTTTTTTCCACTCACATGCACATTCAAAGCCTTAGAAGGGGTTTTGACGGCACTGACATACTCGCGATAGATATAGTATGCTCAGTATATGGCAAAAATAGATCTAGTGTGTAATGTACTTGTATGCATACAGCTCACTTGCCTCTAATTGGTTGTAATTCCAGTTCCAATTTACTAAAAGCTCTAACCCCTTTATTGATATCAACATTACCACAAACCATGAGGAGATTATAATGTAGCATTAAGTATACTTGTTGTTCATGGGTAAAAGAGCAGAGAAATAGGTGTGTAATTTATACTCAGCAGTTTCTTGCATTTGATGGAATGACATAATTCAAAGGCAAGCTGTTAGGGGGAAAGTATCAAGCACTTTGCACTCAGGCAACTTTGTCTAACACACTGTTTACCATTGTGCTGTACAATGGGAGCTGTCGACTCCCCCTAGACTCCCGCTAGAAGGGGTTTGGCAAACCCATTCAGCGTAGCGGCACTCAGCATCCACCTGCCTCTAATGCACTTATGTCATGGACATGGGTCAAGCTGAGCTATACTTATCAATTCAGATATAAGTACAGTTACGCTCCGCTAATTAACACTTGAGGCATCCCGTCGTCAATATGCGAAGGCCTCCAGTAGGAAGGCACCTAACAATGGGTTTTTGAATGTATTCGTTTCTGTTAGACACGTGAGAAAGGCCTTGCAACTTGACATCCAAGTTTTTTTACACATGCATACCTTTCTGCCATACATTATACAAGCTTCAATAGCTTTATCAAATATGGTTGCAAAAGGACTGTGAAACGGAAAATAATACTTTGCTTTTAATTTAGATGTCAAATACACATACTTTCAATAAAAAAGTTATTCCTCTAGCAGTTATAATGTCAGCTGCATACGTTAACTATGTTGTAAAGAAAAAAAGGCTACTGACAGGGTATTCTTTTCCTTTCAGACGTCCTTATTCAGATATTTGCCTGAAATTACTGTATAGTGCTACTTGTATAATTCTGCAATTTTTATGCAGAGTGTTCGAGCAATTAGAAATACAAGCCTTGCTGTGTGTCGCAAGCTGCAGAAATCCTATACTTAAGCTGAGTGTTACAGGTATTAATGTCTGCAAAGGCTTTTCATGGCAAAAAGGGGTCCCATGCTGCTCTACCAACATCCCTTACTACAAAAAGGCAACATTCTCTGCACCACACTTGTGGTGCTTTATTACTGAAAATGCTGCCAGTGGGACAGTAGGTGGCACAGTGGTGTAATGGTTAGCACGTCTCCTTTGCAGCACTGGTGTCCCAGCTTCATGTTCTGGTCATAAACACTATCTGTGTGGAGCTTGTATGTTCTCCCTGTGCCTACATGGATCTCCTCTGTGTACTCTGTTTTCCTCTCACACTCCATAGACATACCGGTAGGGTAAATGGTTCCTTTCCAGATTGGTCCTAGTATGTGTGTTTGTGTGAGTATGTATGCATGTGTGATAGGGATCTTAGATTGAAAGCTTTCTGAGATCAGGGACAAATGTGAATCTAAAGTAAGTTAAGAACTGCATAAATTGCCTGCACTGTATAAATATCTGTAAGGTCCTCATGCACATTGGGCGTTTAGCAGCAATCCAGTAGCAGTGGCACTTGGATGGTGCGCCTGTACCTTCCACCAGAACATAAACGCCGGAGCCTCATGCACCAAGGCTAAACATCCAATGTGCATGAGGTCTTTTAAGTAAGGAATTTTTAGTGCATTGAGCTGCCACCCCCTTTAAAATGAATGGACTGCTTTACCGTGACCTGTCACCTATAAAAGGAGGCTATTATCCCTTTAAAAGTGCAGAAGTGCATCTATACTTAGTTTTCTCTGGCCTATGTCTTAGAGTGGCACGGCATCACTGCTCCATGGCTGCTGCACGTATTTAACCCACCTGCAAGATTTAAATACCTGTACCACTTGGGCAGGTCCAATCCCTGCTCACCCTGCCACATGCAGTATCAGGGTCCAGATCTGAATCTGGGCCTCTGCAGTGTCTGGTTTATCTGCTACGCTTCTGCTTGTTCCTTATCTGCTTCATCCTCTACCTTGACACTTGTGCTTTTCCTCCTAGGGTAATCCTGAGGGCTACAACCTGGCATTAGCACTCGGTGAAACCCATCTTCCCCTTGAGAAGCTCTGGTGAGGACCAGCTAGTGGTTGGACCCCTTGCCTCGGATGAGCCTGCGTCATCCACTAAGCAGGAGTATGTGTGTATTAGCTAACTACTCGTGAATCTCTCAGCTGGTACAGCTACTGGCCTTGGAGCTTGACTCCAGATCGTGCAATGCAATGATTCTTCCTGCCTTATAGTACAGCCTGCAATTAGGTATAAGCCAGGTATTCATACACCCAGAAAAAGTGATATACCTGCAGTGGATGGGAAGCAGTAATGCAGCAGGGTTTTAAGATGCAGGCCACCAAAAAGTTGAATATAGATGGATTTCTTTTAGAGGACTAACCACCTTCCATAAGTGACCTGTGGTTGACCTCCTGCTGCTTAGGCTAAGTGCCAGATAATGAAGGTGCTCATGGATCCATGTTACTTAGAAACTAGAGAAAATAAATTAAACAACTTGACACATTTTTGATTTGCTGTAACAGACACTACCATATATTTAAAGGTACAATGTACACAAGTTTTTTTTTTCTTTTTTAATAGTTTGTTGTACAAAATAAAAACTCAGTTTAATGATACATTTTTAAAACCCAGTTTTCGAAGTCTCTTTAGCAGATATTTTAATGGTTGAAATAATCATGAGCCACTAGGTAGAAAGAAAAATTTCAGCTCTCTTTTCAAACTTTTAATATTTTTCCATACCCAGCTGATAAAAGAAACACCGAGTTTGGAGGAGTCTTAGGCATAATTGATTCATTACTCTCCCACTTGTATAGCAGGAAGATTTCATTGACTTGTTTGAAAATGGATTCTGCAAATGTTTGCTTTAATGGATGGAAGTGTGCTACAGAATCAGGAATGTATTTGTACAGCACTTTCAACAGCTTAAAGGAAGAAGCCTTGCCTGTGGCTTTTTTTATACTTGGGGAACAGGAGATATAAAATGATTAGAGAGATTGGCACGTAGACTCGATGAAATGTTTTGATCTATCGCCTTCCAAATCGGAAACTGAAGCCACCTTTCTTTCTATTGTAACCGTTCAACTCTTCAGCCAGTGATCCAAGGGCTGTGCCTACTCGTTTGTCAATTTGTGGTTCAAAGTCATCAACGTCATTCCCTTCGTCTCTCCTACCAAACCTAAACCTGAAGCCTGCTCTTTCTTTCCCAAAACCTTGGAGTTCCTTGGCTACGCTGAACAGTGACGTTGGGTCTGTTGATTTCTTATCTCTTAGGTTTGCAAGATGTAGAAGAGATGCTGGGATGTTCTCATCCCTGTCAGTAATTATTTTTTTCCACAACTGAATCTTCTCCCAAGGTTCACCATCCTCCAAGCTTTCCTGTAAGCCAAAGCTAGATCCAAGTATCATAAGGAGCAGGAGAGACAGTCCGCTAGCACCCTTCATCTAGGAGATAAGACAGTAGATCACCATTACAACAGATCTCCAGCAGTAATTGGAGAGTAAAGTGTATGTGCAGCCAAAACATTTTTACTTTGGGATAGAGTAAAGAAGGGTTCGAACCCCTGATAGTTTTTTTGCTATCTAGGACGCCATAGAACAGATTTATCTCCATCCTGCTGACAGCATTTTCCCAGACAGAAAGTAAGGGGAATTCTCTAACAGGAATAAAATACTTTTTTTTTTTTTTTTTAGTAAGGAAATGTCAAAAACCTGTCAGATTTTTTTTTTTCCCATATTTGTCCCTTTTGTAGATTTCTCTTACCTCCTATCTGGTGAAGTGTTGTCAGCAAGAAGTGAGAGCAAATGTTTCCAACATTTTGTACGGGCAAGCAAAAATTTACTGACAGGAAAACTTAATAAACGACCACGGTGCTCCACAGCTTCATTGAGAATTACAAGCCGACAGCCCCAAAGGCTGCCCGAACATGTAGTGTTCTCATTCACAGAATACTGCAAATGAGTGACATGGCCGGGCGGGCAGAGAAGATCCCCTGCTAGCTCTCACAACGGGGATCGCAGCTGGCAGCCCATTAATACGTTAACACTCTGTAACATGTTATGAAAGGTGATCCTTTAAGTATCACGGCGCTCATAGACTAAATAAGATACATCAGACTAAGATAAGATCATAGGAAAAGTATTGAGCTTCTTTGCAGAAGTACAATTCAAATTCTGCTACTTAAAAGACTCTTGTGGGACTTCTGTCCTGGTTGGTCGGTGATATTTATTTTAGGTCTTAATCTCATCATTGAGGTCTGGACTTTGGCTTAATAGTTTCCTAAACCTTAAAGCCAAACTCCAGAGAATTTTTTTTTTTTTTTTTTTAAGATTTTGGTTTGAGGACTTTATCAGACAGAACAGGGTGTAAGAGCAATTCTCCACACTTCCTGTGTATTTTATAGGTGTCAGGTAGAACACACAATGAGGGGCAATCCCAAGATCAAAAGAGAAGAGAAATCTATTTTAGCAGGTAATGATTGAGCTGGCAGTTTTATCTTTACTTTTTTTTTTATTCTTCTGTGCTAACCTAGCATTGTCTATTGTCATCATATTATCACCAGAATGTCTCGAAAAATATTTTCTGCTGGTTGAAGAACTCAGCTCTAAGATAAGTCAAGTTTTAGGCACCCTCTGCGTGAAAAATTTGGACAGGTATCTTGACGAAGACAGTTTATGGGGATGTGGACAATGTTTTTTGCCATGAACACACACCCACACAGGTTGAACTGGATGGACTGGTGTTTATTCAGCCTTGACAGCTATGTAACTATGTATTTTTGGTGGCTAAAGCTGGCCATAGATGGATTGAAATTTGGCCAGTAAAGCAGGAACCAGATGAATTTTGATCCGTCTATGGCCCCAGTGTCAGAATACAATAGCACAGCTGGGAGTATTGCCTCATCCATCTCAAATATGTCGATGGCAGAATTAGTTCATCTTTTGATCAGCTGTCTGGCTGATCAGAAAAAGGAAAAAAAAAAAAAAAAAAAAGATCCATCAATGGCCAAGTTAAGGGTTGATCACTTGTACAGTAATGCAGACACTGCAGCTTTTGTCATCAGAGCACTGAGAATACACCAGCTGATTAAAACTAATTAATCCCTCTTGTTAAGAATCATTCTACACAGGAAATTGTCAAAGAGCTATTCCTTCAGAGCAGAAACAGGTAGGAATCTGCAACAATGTTTGTTAAATTCCTTGCAATGTACATAAATCATCTAGAGGGGAATGCTATTTTCTCAGCAAAAGCTGAGTTATCTTTCTCTGGGGTCAGAGGATAGAGGATACAGTAGGGTGTACGTTTATTAAAGCATGATCTAGTGGGCTTTATTACATCAAGGCTAATCACAGCACATAAACATCTCAGAGGAGAGCGTGTTTATTAAGATTGGCACTTCTGTTCTCCAGTGGAGAAGAGAATGTTATACGTGGTGAATGGCCGTGATGTGCAGAGAAATGAGAAGAAGGGATATGGCTTAGCAAAATCAAAGCTCTCTCATCTGCTTCCCAGCCAAAAAAAAGTGGGGAAAGCAAAACATACCATAAACACAGTCTGCAGTCCCTTGTAAGGTGTGTTATGTATTTGTGTGTATGTATGTTTATACTGTGTGTGTATATATGAGGGTTAAGGCAGTGCTGGAAAATAATGGTGGCCACACAAATTTTTGACACTTTGGGCCCAGTTTGGGGTGTACTCACTTTTTACTTTTTTTCCCAGCGGTTTAGACATTAATGGCTGTGTGTTGAGTTATTTTGAGGGGACAGCAAATTTACACTGTTATACAAAGCTGTACACTCACTACGTCACATTGTAGCAAAGTGTCATTTCTTCAGTGTTGTCATATGAAAAGATAGAATAAAATATTTACAAAAATGTGAGGGGTGTACTCACTTCTGGGAGATACTGTAAGCAAGGGAGGAGATATTTGGCATCAGTGGCCAGTGAGGTGCTTTATTGCACCTCATTAAACTTTCCAAATCTCCAAATATTAAAGGTACATCTAGGTCAGAAACAAAAGAATGGTTTTGAGCCATCTGTTATCTATGCCACTGCTGTAGCAAGGGTTATACGGCAGGGACTGCAAACCTGGGATCTCAAAAGCAGCTCAATCATTTGTCCATATGATTTTTGGAGAATATTTATCTTATCTGTACATGAAATGTCAAGTCAGGCTTGATTCCACCCCCTCCTTCCTAAAGTTTCCTATTAGTTAGTGAGGATAACCATCTAAAAGAAGGATTGAACTAAGCTTGCCTTTTAAAAGTCATGAACTGTGTATTAAGGTATCTAAATCTACCAGATATACTGATCATTTTAACCTGCATTTTTTTAAAATAAAACCTTACCTTTGATTTCATTTTCCCAAGTGTGTGACAGACGTATATTAATCCCCTAGAGATGTACAAAACTATTAGATGGTTTAAAAACAAGCTTGTCATAAGAGAAATACACAAGCAGATTATCCTGGACATTATTAGCCAGGAAACTCTCTCCATGCCCCCAAGACACAGCTACCCCACAACTGAGGAAAGTAGGCAGTTCCACAACTATTACAAAAAGCTTTCGACTGCTTTGGAAGCAATATCAGAAAGCAGAATGCCTCCCATTACTCTCCTTATCTGTTTCTCACAGAGGCCTTCCTGAAAAGGGAGTTACTGGAGAGGAAAGTCATCAAACAAGCCCAAGCATCCAAAGCTCCAGGCCCAGATGGCTTTTCCATGCTGTATTATACAAAAATTTCTCCATTATTTATTCCACATTTACAAACATTTTACAGTGCCCTTCGAGAAGGTTCACCTCTCGATGTGGAATCTAAGAAGTCCACTATATGCCATTGTCTACACCTGGTAAGGACCACAGTAACGTAACAAATTGCAGACCTATCTAACACAAAAAAAAAAACAATTAAAATTGCTAACAAAAAGTTATGTTAACAGAATCCATTGATTTCTAGAACGCTATATCCATACAGATCAGGTTGGATTTTTGGCCTAAGTGCCAGGCAGGGGACCAAATTAGAAGGGCAATAAATATTGTCTTGTTGTTGCGATCCAACTGGGATGGATTTGGGACTAGACAGGGTATGTTATTATCTTTAGACTTAAGCCTATAATTCATTTTCCTTGCCCTATCTAATTTACTCAGTCTATTGTGCACTGTATACTCGTATACTACTGCTAATATACAAGCTAATGGTTATAAGTTGGACTCCGTAAAAATACAAACATGTACCAGGCAAGGTCATCACCCCTATTATTCTTTATTGAGATCAAAATGTTGGCAATAGGGATTTGTCTGAATATTTATTTAATTTACTTCAGGTACTAATATAGCGCCGTCAATTTACGCAGCACTTTACACATAAATATTGTACATTCACATCAGTCCCTAACCCTCAAGGGGTGTACAATCTAAGGTCCCTAACTCACATTCATACATACACATACTAGGGCCAATTTAGACAGGATCCAATTCACCTACCAGCATGTCTTTGGAGTGTGGCAGGAAACCAGAGTACCTGGAGGAAACCCACGAAGGCACAGGGAGAACATGCAAACTCCAGGCAGGTGGTGCCGTGTCTGGGATTCGAACCAACGACCCTAGTACAGCCAGGCGGAAGAGCTAACCATTTAGCCACTGTGCTGAATATAAATATACACGGAGTTCAGAGCGCAGAAGAACAACATAAATGCACACTCTTTGCGAACAATCTCTTCTCCCCAACCTCCTACAACTTCTGAAGGAATTCAACTAAATTGGAAGCTCTTAATATTAACTTTCCACACCAGATTCTTACCACACGTATATGGCTGTATTGGGCCACTTTATGCTACTTTGGAGGAGGAGTTGAAGATATGGTTGATATATACTCTCTCATTGATAGGCACTGTTAAAATTAATCTACTAAACAAAATATTATACTATTTTTGCACACTGCCTATCTACATCCCCTCTTCATATTTAAAGAAATCTCAGTCCTGCATCTTTAGATTAATCTGTGGATCTAGAGGCTGTAGGGTGTCCCTCAAACCACCACTATATGCCATAAGTTATCTGGAGGCTTGAGTTTATCCCACCTGATGCAGAACAACTGACCAAACAATCCCAAATATATGCTGCCTCTTAAAAACCTGAATGACTTATACTTGAATCGCAAGCGGGGCTTCCACAACCCATAGATATCCTCATGTGGCCTCCCCCCCCAAAAAACCTTAGAGCTATAATGTGACCATTCATATCTCACTCACTGCACCTCTGGGATACAATCTATAAGCTTTTTACTCTTAAAGGCTAAGTTCACCTTTAAAAAAAATAAAACAATGTACATCTTTTTACAGGCAAAAAAAGTGCTTTTTTTTTTCTTTGGAGCCTTTAAAGCATTGCACTTGCCATCAGCAGATCTGGGGGGCATCTCAACACTATACCAGTTTTTTTAGATGTCA